GGTTAGGTATGATGATGACAAAATCTTGTCAAAACGTTGTACACTTGCTGTTATGTTAAACTTATATTACAGTTTTGCTTCATTACCCATTCAAGCCGTTTCCAGCCATTAATTGTCTAACATTATTCATTATAACTGATAACGAATTACAAAGTTGATGTTTAACGAAACCTGGGTAGCCCTTCAGTGACACACAGTTTTTTCGGACAGGCTACCACGTTGTATTTACGACTTTTTACCCTATTCACTATCAATTTGAATATGTTAATAAACACAACTTATCACAACATTATGCAGCATCAACTTTAAGGAATTAAGTACAAGTCCCCATAATATATTTACCAGTAATCTATAATAAATAATTCAATCTTTTAGACATAGCGGTATGATTATGTCTTGCATTATTAACCGAATTCAAGCGAACATAAACATAAAGATATTGTTGGCATTACGACCAGGAAGAACCAAAATAAATCGTAGGGAGTTAATTCATGAGATATTAGAGACTAAATGCTATATTAGCACAAAACTGTACAATGGGATATATGCAATGAGCCCATTGTCGGGTTCAAACTCCGACTTTTAATGTTCCAAGTGCTAAAACTTACTGCTGAGACACCAGAAGACTAACTAAAACCTAATGATAATTGCTGGAGTGTAACGAAATATCATTCAAAACATTAAAAGAACCTTCGAGACCTAATGTGATTCTCGAACCTTTGTTAGTGTATGAAGATTGTCCTAGAGGATTAGTATGTTAGAATAACTAATTAATATAATCAGAAATCTTTATTTGTATAAAATAAAAACATGTTTCTTCGTCTCAGTCATTATAAAAGACTTATCCTGGTGGTATTGAATCAAGAAAAATATTCAAAAGCCATAATAATTAAGCGAATCAAAAACACAAGAAGCACATTTCAACACCTAAAGCTATAACACACACACACATAAAGGTCCCTTATGTGACATAATAAACCTGTTGCAGAAAGAATATTCATTTCATTCCAAATTAACTTATGTTTGTTATTGTTGGAAAATTATCTTACGGAATAATCTTTTGTTTCTTACATTTAGCCTCTGCCTTACACGAGTCTAAGCAATTTAGATAGTGCACAACAGAAGATCAAATTATGCAAGTGAAGATGGGTATTTGGTTTCTATTGATTTTTATGAAAAAAATATCAACGATTTTATAGAATTATCATGAACAGGAGAATTTTATGCATACACATTATATCACAAGTTTCTTCCTGTCTTCAAAGAGAGCAAAGTTGTTTCTGTCCTGAAGAAGTCAAGTTTTGCTGCTGTTGAAGTTTTATCTGTGTTTTAACCTTTTATCCATTACTTTTAAACTAAACGTATCGCAAAGTGACAGCCACTTTTAGCTGTAAGATTAGTCTTTTCTCTATGTTCTTAAATAAATAAAGTGATTATTTTTACTTAAGCTTCATATCAAAACTTGTCTCTTTCTTTTCACCACCGCATTATTCCTGTCCTTATCCATACTAGGTCCTCGAATCTTCATTGGTTGAGGAGATGAACTACGAGCTAGGTTCATCCTTGAGTTACCATACTACTATAATCTTCTTTCTCCCACGCGCTATGTATGTCCATCACTTTCTTGTTGAAAGACCATGCCTTATATATAAATATAAGCTTCTAATAAATTCATAATTTAACAGATTAATTCACTCTTGTTTCGAAACTTAAAATTTTGTTCAACTAATACAATCCCCCATAGCTTCTACGGTTTTTGATATTATTTTTTTCTCTGGTATATTTTGAGTTCATCCCCTCTTTCAGTTTTAATTTATTATGCTGAAGTATATTTTACAGCATATATAAATGTACCAAATATTTTCTGACTTTTTTTTATTTTTAGCCAATTACCATAAGCTAAAATATGCTCAGAATCATGCAGCAGATAATGCAAATTTTCCAATAAGCTAACAGAGTAAATAATAATAATAAAACCTCCAATTGAAAAGGTCAACTTTTTGTAAAAATTAAAAGGTCAAATTGATGACAGATAATTTGTCTTCTACATGTTTATAAGAAACAGAAAAATACACTTGAGGCAACACTAATCCGTTCATTAGTTGTTGCCTTGACAACGGGACATTTACCTAGCCAATTGGGTATTGACCTATGGGAATGCACTTTGCGAAAACAAGCTTGTTATTGTGTCTAAAAATAAATTTACTGATGAGTATAAAAACTCAAAAATGAATAAGTACCAATCAAACTTGTGAACAGACTCTGTTTAATTCACAACAAATCATAAATATTTAAATACACCAACCACGTATACATCATATACGTATATATATTCATCATTGTTCAAGAGTGTACGCTTATACACATTTACAAGAAAATATAAATTTATGATAGAGTAATAAAGCTTTCGAATAAATGTCACCGTACAAACACACAAAAAAGAGGATTAAAGGCGACGTTGCCAAAGATCAACTAAACTATACACTCAATTCTCATTGCCCATCTTCTAGTCAGTCAGTATCTCCTGGCATTTAACAACTACGCGCGTTACTAAGGACAATTTGACGTCTGTAGTACGTCAGTGATGGATTGCAGATAGTACTTGTCATCAAAATCAGCAATGGCCACTGACAGGACTGCCACAATACTTGCTACCGCGATCAGTAATGTCCGCTGACAAGTTGAGGTGTTACAACATGATGCAAACGGTCACATTTCTCTATTCTGGCAATATTATATAACTATAATGACGTTAAACAATAATTTCTTTTCTCTGATAGGGTGAAACCGACTTTAAATTATTGAAAATGCATGTATGTGTTTATTATATACTCAAATGTTCACATATTAGCACAACAAAAATTGGATTCACGAATCTTTCAATCACAGCATTGGATATACAGTCACCCATGGGCATTTCTTAGGAAAAAAGACCATAGAAGCAAGAATTTAATAAAACTGAGACACCCTTTCTGGTAATATTTATAATCGAAACGCTATTTTATTTTCTACTCAGATCAGTTTGAATAATGCCCTGTTTGTCAATATTTGTGACACAAAAGCATATAACTTCTACTAAATTTCTTTCATCTTGATAAAGCATAAAGTCCATTTATCTTCTTTCTGGTCTTTTTAAGTTCTTGTCCTGTATTTGTCTTCATCCTGTATATGTACATATATATTAAACGAACACAATAGCTTTTGTTTATTTACCATCTAGAATGACTGAGACTGAAGGAGTTTTGTTATCGATCTCTAAAAATATAGACGACAAAGAAGATATTTCTTATTGCTGATCAGCAGTGTTCATTCTATCATTTTGCTGCTGCCAGCAAGTGTTTATTCGTAGTTCCAGTGAGAATCTATTCTACTCATCGTCTTTTCTCGTCTTCACTCAATGATATTTGTTGTAAACTAGACACTTAAGACAGGACTATGCCAGTTATCTTTTCACCATGTTGAAATAAAACACCATAATACAGATGTGTTACTTGCATGTTTTCTTACTGTATTATTAAATTAAGAATGTTAAATTATTAATCCCATTTTGTTCCTCCCTAATTAATATGTTAAATTGTTAATTGAAAAGTATATTACCTAAATGATTTCCTTATCTATCTCCTAAATATGTCAAAGTGAAAGATTGCTAAAAATATTTACTTAATGGTCACCTCAACGTATGTTGAAACCTTTTTTAATTATTGCTATACAAATGATCTCCTTGCCTGTTTCTTCACTGCTGTAAATTCGATTGTTGTTACTGATGTCTGTGTTTGTTTCTTCAGTAAATGCAATTAAACAGAGAGTGTCTCAGTGTTTTGTTCGGGTATTTGATTTGTGATTTATTCAATTTGTAGTGGCTTTAAATCTAAACACTTGATAGTAAATAATTTGAATATTGCATGCAAGAGTGTGTGCTATTTCTGTGAGTGCCAAGCAAGAAGACGTAAATAAGAAGGGAGAACAAACCTATTTGCATATAGAAAGCATTGAAAAGAAATTGGAAGATTAACCAGCAAAAGTTGTTTGCCTTTGGTTATAATCACTAAAAAACAAATTTTATTCCACTACGTCAACAAACAAAAAGTTAGTTTCAAGTAAAAACAACATTTCCTTCAAGTTAGTTAGAAATTTTAAAAACGGGAAAGTGCAGATGCCATACAATCTAAACGTCACAGTAAAGGATCCCGTGAAACTAGGGGCAGTGGCTTATACATATTATGTACCGTATTCGCCAAACGTTAAGACGTTAAAGTAAGATATGAACTATACAACTCGCTCTATATTCGCGGACTATGCTCCGAGTGAAACTGCTATGCTGCGTATCAAATGAAATGGACGGGAACGATGATGCCATTCTGTGGAAGGACGACGCAGAAAGAGAGGAAGACTCAGACAGCAGTAAGAAGGAAAATGACCATAGTGATGGAATAATATTTTGCTTCCTTTCATACCAAACGAGTAGGTACCGTATTTCAGATACATTGCCATTTTTGACACAAAGTTACGGCCATAATGCTACCGACACTTATTTTTAAAATTATATAGACAATTTTTTGTGTGTGCAACAGTCTACAAAACATAAGTTTTTGTAGGGTTACCATATTTTAACACAAACCTGGACTTTTGGATTTAAGCAAACTAACACAGCTTTACTGGATCAGAAAATACTATCACTGATATCCCTAATAGTAAGTAAAGAAAAGTTTATATTTTCCCCATTCTTTGTTGAAGTTGTCTTACCTGCTTTATAGTAGTCTTATTAACGCTAGGCCTACTTTAATTTTTTTTCTTTACATTAAAAATACAATTTCTGGTCTTTAAAACGTAAGGTCATCCAAAATTCCGGTCAATAGGTATATATTTAGACCATTGTTTAACAAAATCTTTATGTGTGTGCATCTGCTTACAGCTGACGAACCGCTAAATTGATTGTTATCAAACCTGGCGTGTATCTTTAGGAGACTCTGGGGAATGATATAGGTAGGTCGACTCTAGGACTGACCCTTTATAGCACCTCTGGGGCTTCTGTCTTTTTTGTTCCATATGTTTTCTCTATTTAAAGAGTTCTCCAGTGAATGCATCTCTACAAATAAAAAATATAATTATGTGACAAATTTTTTGAACATAATTAGAATGAAAAAAAATTACTGGTGCATATTAAAAAGTATCTGGTGAATGTAGGCATTAGGGAACTTAGTAGTAAGATTTAGTACGGAAACAGATTATTACGAATAAGTCAACTTAAAGAAAACCTTGCAAATATATTTTGCAATTAGAAAAAGCTCAAAATCTTCAAAATGGGACTTGTATTCCAGAAAGTTGTTTTTCTCGCAACGTGATTAATTAGTAAGGTGATTTATATGAGTTCGAGTTAAAAATGAACAAAACGATTAGTTTTGCTTTTGAAAATAGAGAAATCGAACACTAATTTCAATACCTAAGTATTATAAAGTTTATATATATATTTATATAAAATTTTTCATATGCCAAAATGTGATGACTGATGACGTTACTTGATTTAAAGTACAGATGTATAACGCATTATCCCTTCCCTTTCAGAATGCAAATGGTTGAAAAGCAATGTTGCAAAATATAGTGTCTGTAAGTTTATTATCAGTGTTATGTTTAGTCGATGAATGTATGTCAAAAGGAAAAGATACTTTGACATGGTTTAGTCTTGATTTAGATTATTTTATCAAACATAAAGTGCTTAGTTTGATCAGTAAGCGTTATTTTTGTTATCTTTACTTTCAACTACGTTTTTTACTCTACCTCGTAAACAGAATAGAAAAATAAATATCTGGTTAGTCTTGTGAATTATATTTATAGGTGATATTTGGTAGCTTTCAACCGTTTATATAATAAACGAACTTGCACCTGTTAGTAAATTTACCAGACATAAATAGACAAGCAACATGGTATATGCTATTTGCAGATAATGTTGTACCTTATGAAGAGAACAAAAGTGAAGCACAAGTAGAACTGGAGAGCATGTATAGAGAGATATGGTTTGAAAATAAATAGGACAAAGACAACATGGTAGCAAAATTCATTGGAGGGGGAGTAAGGGAGGATGAAACGGTGCTCCTCGATGGCGAATAGATTTAAAAAAAATGTATACATTTATATAACTTGGATCAACTGTGTAGGCAGAAAGAAGAGTGAATAAGGAGGTTAAAGAAAGCATGGATGAATGTGAGAGAAATCATAAGAGTTGTACGTGACAGACGGATGTCATTAATGTTGAAAAGGAAATTTATAAGGCAGTGATAAGACCACTCATGTTTTATAGGGCTGAATGCTGGAGTTTAAGAAATTAAGAGGAGCAGATTATGAACGTGGCGGAGATTCGGATAAAAAACATTAGTGAGAGGGTAACAGTTGTTCCGGTTAGGGAGAAGATGAGAGAAATTGACCTTAGATGTCTCGTTCATGTGGAAAAAGAGGAAAAGAGTATTTTGGTAAAAGAGTGATAAATATGACAGTGGAAAGGAAAAGGAGAAGAGGAAGACCGAAGAAAAGATGGAAGGATGTAGTGAGAGAAAGGACATGAGAAAATGTGGTGTGAATGTAGTTCTGCAACAGAATAAAAAGGAGTGGCAGGCAAGATCCAGAAAAGCAGACCCCAATCAAGTGAAACATATGCTAAGAAAAAGATGTTAGTTCCTGACCAACATCATTTACAGCATTTTGTTTTGTCCCTTAGCAACGAACGTAGGAGCAGGTATGACAGATGCGTTAGTTCTTACCAACATCGTTTACAGCATGTTGTTTAGTTCCCTAGCCACGAACGTACGAGTAGATGCGTACATGTTACTAGAATGGCTTGAACGACTCTTGAAACTGCTATGCAGAGTTAGCGACGTTGGAGTAAAGGTAACCCGACGAAATATTCGATGTTCCGTTTTCCAGCCAATCACACGCAAAAATGCGTCCCGGAACTTGGATGAGATGACGTTATAGAGGATAGGATTGGTTGCCGAGTTTGTGTACAACAAGATACGACAGAAGTAGAGAAGAGTGTAGTAGAGCTCCATTCCCAGGTCCTGGATTTCCTGAGGATCTACTGAGATAATCCACAAGGTAAAAATTCGGAATGGAAGCAGACACAGGAAGAAGCTGAAAACTACAGCGACCAGCATCAGCACCACCTGGCGACGAGCCTTCATTTGTAGTTGCTCGGAACTCGAAGATATAACCTGACTGTCAATGATCAAATGTTTAGCAATTATAGCATACACTGTGATTAGAATTAGAAAAGGGATCCCAAAGAAAGCAACAATCATACTGATGAAATATAAGCGCTGCCAAAGTGATTGAACCAAGGTGAGACATACCGGAACGATAGAACCATCCACATATTCTGAGTAGGTGAACTGCGAGAATAACAAAACGGGACTGGTGACCAGCAGCGCCACCACCCAGACGATGACGATGATGATTATGGCTCTCATCTTGGTGCAGGTGTATCCAGCTTTCAGTGGTTGACAGATGGCGTAGTAGCGCTCGAAGCTAATAGCCAGAATGGTGAGAACCGATCCGTGAGCCACTGACAGTTCCACAAAAGGAACAATTTTACCTAAACAAACACAAAATCATACACATGTTATAAAAAGTAGAACACTCTTTACCCACTTTAACACATACAAAGAAACCCCAATAAACATACAAAAAATTATACAGGGATTTTCAGTTCTTAAGAAAATATTATTTTTGTACTTACGAATGCTTGAAACTTAAATCATATTACTTTGTAAAAACATACTACTATTTTAATGAATTACTTACATGTAGTTAAAAAGTAAGAAAAGAGTTTCAATTAACACGGAAAAAATGGAAAATTTGCGAAACTCTAACAGAAATTATTGACATTAATGTACAACTATCATGGTAAAAGACTGATTGTTTTTATAAAAAAAATATTATAAACTGGAGTACTTTCAGATCCGAAAATTTGTACAAGGTATAAAAATGAATAAAAATGATATACATATGTTGATACATATGACAAGAAACTAGGTGTTTTAGAAATGACAATTTTTTTGTAATATTATATTCTCTTACATTTAAAACATTTTTTTCATTGTTCAAATAACCATCTCAACAACATTTTCTATTGATATGTTGCAGTTTCTTTAATTTTAAACATTTCATATTTGTGACTTCTACTGAAATTTCTACTTCGTATCGTGGAGCAAAGCAGAAATAAATAATTTGAATGTTCAACTAACACGTGATATTCTTACTTATGACTTTAGTTACTTAATATAAACTGTCCAAAAGGGTACTGTGAAACTTTTTCTACATATATATATACCTATATATTAAATTAAATCTGCTGAATGCAAATAAAAAGAGTAAAATTGAAAGTAATAACTTTCTTATGTTATAATATAAGTATCATTTAAGAATTTTAAAAATACAACAAAAACGAAATATTACAAAACATTACTTGTTTTGTAAAATATTTGTTAATCTTTATTTTTCAGTAAATTTCTGGTAAAAACTGCAATAAAACAGTTCATACGCTCTACCTACTGTTGGGTAAATCTCTAACGCTGCTCTACCTACTGCTAGGAAAATCTCTATCGCTCTTCTACCTATTGCTAGGAAAATCTCCATCGCTGTTCTGCCTCCTGATAGGTAAATCTCTAACGCTGCTCTACCTACTGCTAGATAAATCACTTTTTCTTTGGGGATGCACTATAGAATTGAAAGAAGACTTTATTATCCGTGGAAAGTTGTCCCCCGGTGGGATAGCGGTAACTTTACGAACTTACAACGCTAAAATCCGTAGTGGTCAAGCAGATAGCCCAATGTAGCTTTGGGCTAAAACAAACCGTGGAAAGTTTATTGTATCGTTCTTTCTTTCTCATTACCTGGGTATATGGTTGCACTGAAACTTAAAACCGTGTCAGTGTTGTTGGAAAAGTGGATCTTACATCTAGCCACAAGGGGACGTATGATTTATGTTAGAATTTGTTTCTATACAAAACTCCCGAAAAAAGATAGACTTGACTGCCTTGTCATAAAGAAAATTCTTTCTCATTCAATTTATTGTGAAAGATTGGGATGTTGAAAAGATGATGAGATACGTCTTTATACCGAGATTTAAACATTAAAAACAAATTTTAATATTAGCATGTAACGTTTTTAAATTTTTTTCAGTAAATATAATAATTTGCTTACACGATCTCCGCCATTTCCGAAATAAATCATTACTCCTTGTTAGCTTAATCTGTTTGTAAATATATTGGAAAAGAAGGTAAACCTATTCCTCAAAAAGGAAAAAAATATATACTATTTAATAAAATATAAATTTGAATCTAGGAGATTTTGCTTAAAAGTAAAAACGTTTTAAAGTGTGGTGACTATACCAGTAAGATTAAGCGGGAAATCTGATTGTCATTTCAAACTTCTGACAAAAGTTGGAGATTCAGGTCCAGCGTTTTCCTGAAGAGTGTATGTATTTAATAAAAAATGTACTTGATACTATTTCGTGTTTTTTATTTGCAAAATGGAAAAATAATCAACGAAAACTTGGGAAAAAACAGCCAATAGAATAAAGCAAACGGTGTATTTTTATTGAAAAGTTAGGGTTAACTGATTAAAAAATAGACTATATTTTATACTGAGTTTTTGACTACTTTAGTGGGTTTGTTTGTTGTTGAGCCAAAGCTGCAAAATATCCTATTAATGCTGTTCCCCACTGCAAGGATCGAACCCCGAATGTTTGCATTCTAAGTTCTGAGCTTTGACTTTAACAAATGGTTTCCGTTTTTGTTTTATTTTGTTTGAGTCTTGTGAATATAGAACTAATATTGATTCAGACGTAATAACAAGTTAATGAATTTTCGGGCAATATGTATCGCAGTTGTTCAATTCAAATGCCAATAAAATAAGCTGTTGAATTTATTAATTTATTTTTAAATAGGCTACTTTATAAAATAATAAATTCAAAAGAGTATGCATGTCGAGAAAACCGAATTTATTTGAATCATTATTCTCTAGGTATCCTAAATTTTTCTTACTTTCGAATCTATATGACATTTTATTGTTTGCTTTGGGTGTTAAACACAATTTCTATATAGATATTGTTATATTCACAAGTTTTTAAACGAAATGGCTATAGCTTTATTTGAAAAGCAAATCGAAATATCTAAATTTCAAATATATAAAATAAATTTAATTAACGAAAATTTGAATCAAATAATTTTTTTCAGAAATTATATTGAATATCTATCACATTTTGTTGTGCAAGTATAGTGTTGCTAATTGGTTCCATTGAAATTTTGTTTTAATGTTATTTGTATTTTGGAAATCCTTATATCATAAGCCAGTTTAAGTTCTATATTTGAAATCAGTCAAGCTAGAGTCGCACAAATATTCAAATTTCCTTATCTTATGGAGATAAAACTAGAGTAACTAATGCTCATAATCTAATTATTTATGTCCTGTTTGAGGTTCTGTTTAATATTTTATTTGGTAACAGTTTCAATTTTAATTCGGCATTTAGAATTTCTCACAGTTCTAAATCTCCTACAAAACGTAAATCGCTTGTTACAAGATAACCATGATGATGATGAACGAACTAGTTTTTAAAATTATTTTGTTTTGTCGAGGAGTGTTTGAGATATCAGGAAATTGAACAAATGAATCAACAAACTCTTTGTAACTGAAGAGTATTTGTCTCTTATGGGTCCATTTGAAATTAATACAAGAAAAAAATGGGCAAAATATTTTTATCAGCGAGAAGTCTATTTCGGCTCCGATCTTCAGTTCTCTTGTAGAAATATTTTACGAATACATTTATGTTGGCTATAGAAAAATAATAATAATATTCTGTTAATTATGTTTCAAAAATCGAAGAGATGTACCAACAAAAGATTTATCTTTTGAAATATGAAACAAGGGATAACGTTTTTGTAATCAACATAACTTTGATTGATATTTTGTTATTCAACATATAATCTCTCATTTTTCTATTTTTGACTTACAGTTTTTAGCAGTGAAATACACTTCAGGTGATGCAAAATGTATAAAATATATTTTTACTTTTTGTAACATGTTAGCATTAGTATTTCTGCAGAATGTTGACAGACTTACAATGCCAAAATCTGGGGCTCGATTCCCTGTGGTAGACACAGCAGATAGTCCAATGTTCCTTTGCTTTAAAACAAACAAAGAAAATACTCAAATACCCCTTAATGGAGATGATAACTGGTCCTTATTACAGCCGTGGTGCCAGAACTACGATGCTTATTTTATAAAGTTAGGATTATATTTAACTTGTTGGTTGCAAAGTTATCATTATTAATCACTCATGCTTTTTAAGTTACATTTTTTTGGATTGCGCTCTGTCTAACAAAATGGATTTTCCTCTTTACATCATATTATACAGGGGTTGAGTAAGTTACATTAAAACTGTTTTCGAGTCTCAACATGGTGTTACTGTCTATGTCTCTACGTTCAGTCATGCTCAATCTGAAGATTGTGCATTTTGACAGTAACACTGCAGCGTAGTTGCAGTTCCAAAAAGCTCCTTCCTAAAGATGTCATGTCCAAAGCACACTCTTCCTCCATATATGGTTCCTATGATCTATCAAGTGTATGAAAGCTGCAGTTTCCAAGCCTATTGAACAGTTTATTTGGACAGGTAACTTGATCGGTATGTCTTCATATTGAATAGCATGAATACGCTTTTAATTCTCTAACTGCTTGAGGTATGCAACAGTTGAATGGATATGTCGTGGAAATAACTTTTGTGCATGAGATTTGTGTCGCTTTTCAAGATCCTTATTGATTATGTTGCATATTGCTGCTTAGGGCACGTGGAAGGCTTTTTTCCACTGCATTTTGTGTTCGAGGATCCTCACCTGCTATAATACGCCACACTTAGGGTGCAATGGCTGCGATACATCTTGTTGTCCCAAACTAATCCATACTCCAATGCCATTAAGTATAGTGGATATCTCCGTCTTGGAAAAATTAATTGCCCGATCTGAATACATCTTTATGACCTGAAGAAGACAGATTAATGTTCTGTCAAAAGATGTGGAATCTTCCACCATCAATATGATTCTTCCTTATGCTTATAAATCGTTCTTTGCCAACCTATTGTTATGATCTGAGTGTATGCATATTTTGCTTCGGAAAGAGCTACTATATACCTTACTCAAAAGCTACAAATTTTCGGTGGCATAACAAAATACCCACGAAACACCAAACAATGTCAAAATGTAGTTCTAATATATGCCATTCCACCGCGACTTCATATAGAGACATTCTCCCTAGTATTCGGCACGTGTTTTTTTGTTTTGTTTTTTGTTGTTATTGTTTTTTCCTTGATTAATCAATCCGTTATGCATTATATGTACACATTATAACAAATGTGTAAGTGCCAAAGCATAAATGTTATTATGGAAAAAAGCAAAGTATCAAAAAATCAACCATCTGTAAATCCAGCTAAGTGCACTTTTTTAGATGTCAATTTCACTTAAAGAATTATAGTTTCAAGTGAAAGACCCAAATCCTATTTTTTTTAATTTCACAGATGCAATTTAAAAAATTCTAAAGGAG